ACAGGGGAGTCCAAGACATGGATGGTTGGTATCAGTGGAGGGACTTGGGCCTCTGGTATCGATACAGTCGTTGGAGCAGGAGGCACTTTAGGGGCATCACCCAGTGCAGCCACCGCTACTTTTCCCTTCTTTGCCGCCTTAAGGGGTTTGGAAGAGCCCTTCTTTGCGGACTTTTGCTCCTTACTTGGCCTGGACTTATTTTTCACCAGCGTGGAAGTGGAGGATTACGCCTTCGATGCTGGAGGCTTCAGTGTCAGTTGGCCGATATCGGAGGCAGGCCTCGATGCCGGAGCTGTTGATGTCGATGGTTTCTCGGCGTCCATCACTGAGGAAGGATGTAGAGCCAATTCTAGCAGGGCCACTTTAAGGCACGCAGCTCGGTTTTTGGGTCTGGTTTGAAAAGCGAGCACAGTGGCGACAGGATTCGGTTCGATGAGACTCTCCAAGATGGTCAGGAGGAGCAAGTTTACTACTGCAACCCTTGCACCTATTAAAAAAGCCCCACTTCTTCTCCATAAAAACCAAAATGAAGAAGAAGGGGGGGGGTAGGCCGAAGGCCCGACTGAGGTAAAGCGGCAACCTCCCCCTCAGCAGAAATAAAAGGTTTTTTTTAAAATGTTTTTTTGAAAGAATGACGGAAAAAAGGAATACACTGAGGAAAAAATCCAAAGAGCCGTGAGGCAAAAAGCCAAAACACGTGAACCAATCAGACCGCCGAAGAAAAAGGTCTTTCCAACGCGCCAGTAAGAAAGGAACTGGCAGGATGTCCACGCCCTCCCCTCTGGGCATGCGCAGTGGGGGTTCCTGCGAATGCCCGAGGTCTGGGCACGAAAATCCATTAAAGAGCTTGCTACAATGCCGATCGATCCAGCGCGTGTGCATTAGATCCCATGGGTGTGAAGCACAAAGACCACGTCAGAGATCCTTAGTATCTACAACAAATCAGTCGCTAACTCGTGGCACCTTTCCCTGACCACTCAAAGAGGCGGTTTTCCATCTGCTACTAAGAAAATCATTCCTACAGAAAAAAGTTGTAGCCAATTATTGCCCTGTCTCTAATCTGCCCTTCCTAGGCAAAACAATCGAGAAAGCAGTAGCAGAGCAGCTCCAGGTCTTAGATAACTCAGCTGCTCTAGACCCTTTTCAGTCTAGTTTCAGACCAAGCTATGGAGATGGCTCTGCTGCCTTTATACACTTCTGTTTAAATGTAGACAAATGTCAGGTCCCCTTGTTATTCCTACTGAATTTATCTGCTGCCTTTGACATAGTGGACCATACCATCTTGTTGAAGTACCTGGAGGCAAAAGAAGGCATTGGGGGTTGTGTGTTGGACTGGTTCAAATCATTCTTCACAGACCAAACTCAAAGAATTGCAATTGGAGGCTGGTTACCATCAGTGTGGGACCTATCCTGTGGAGTGCCAAAGGGTGCAATCCTATGCCCCAACTCTTCAATCTTTATGTAAAGACCTGAAGCCAATTCATTTGTTGTTTTGGGGTTGGTGGTTATCAATATGCTGATGATAATAGCCTTATCCAAATCTCCTAGTGATGCAGTAGAGGTCCTAAATTGCTGCCTGGCTGCTGTGGTTTAATGGCTAAAAGTGAGCAAATTGAAAAGAAATCCTGGAAAAACAGAAGTAATGCTGGTTGGGAAACCAAACCACTTTTGATGTGGTTCAGCTGACTCTTGCCAAATCAGAAGAAGAGGTGGATTTATATCCCGCCCTTCATTTGGAGTCTCAGAATGGCTTACAATCTCCTTCCCTTCCTCTCCTAACAACAGATACCCTGTGAGGTAGGTGGGGCTGAGAGAGCTCTGAGAGAACTGCTCTTAAGAGAACAGCTCTGAGAGAACTGTGACTGACTCAAGGTCACCCAGCTGGCTGTGTGTGGAGCAGGGAGTCAGACCTAGTTCTCCAGATTAGAGTCCATTGCTTGTAACCACTACACCAAACTGGCTCAGGGATATACTGAGTCCAACATTTGCTGGAGTAGCAAGTTAATACAGTGGCCAAAAAAGGATTTTTTCCAGCTTGGCCTAGTTTGAAAAATGGCCCCTTACCTTGATATGTCTGATATGACTACCTAAATATAGGCCAAGGTGATACTGAGGCTAGACTGTATATTGGCCTCTCCTCAAAATCAGTTTGGAAACTCCAGCTGGTGTACAATGCTGCAGCTTGGCTATTTTTGAGAACTAAATGGAGCATGCATATTACTCCCGTTCTTTAGTAACTTCACTGGCTGCCCATCAGTTACCAGGCTCCATTTAAAGTGTTGGCTATCATGTACAAAGCAGTTCATGGCCTTGGACCCTCATATCTGCAAGACTGCCTTTCCCTATATGCTCCGCCATGACAGCTTCACTCATCCAAGCAGGGTCTTCTGTAGGAGTCACCCTGCAAATGGGCAAAATCAACAACTGCCCATATACATGCCTTCTCTGTTGTGGCTCCCACCTTGTGGAATGGCCTGCCCAAAGGAAGTCAGGAAGGTTCCCACTCTCCGGGCTTTCTACAAACTATGCAAAATTGAAATATTCAAGACGGCTTTTGTAAGTAGGCAATAGGGTAGCATTGTACTAAAGGTATCACAAAGTTACCTGGATAAATTACTGGGGACTTTACACAGTAGTACTACTGTGTAAAGTTTGCTGTGGATTGGATCCTAGTATGTAATTTTGCTTCATTTAATGTCATACTAACACTTATGCTTTGCTTCAGTTCTGTTTTTTAGTCTTCTGGCGGGTTCTACAACCCAAATCCTATCTCATTGTTTACCAAATGTCCCATCTTATCGACTGTATTAACTTACTCCACATAATCCGCCTTGAGTCCGAGAGAGAAAGGTGGACTATATACAACAAATAAATAAATAAACAAAACTGACTGAAATAGTTTGGTTGAGCACAATTTAGGAAGGTCTCTGTCATCAAGAGACTCAGTTGAATTCATAAACTGCATCCAAAGAACTTTAAATTTTCTGCTCATGAAGAGCAATACTGAACATTGTTACTAGTTTTGCCTTAGTAAATTAGGACCATGTACACATTTACTTTTTGTGCAGTTCAAAGTCTGCAAGTCCAATTGTTTATAAAGTTATAATTATATGTAAATATACGTCTTGAGCTGCCCCTCAAAG